ACGAGGAGAAACTACACATGGCCAGCAATCGAGGACATCTGAGAGTTGTAATTTTTGTACTCCTCCGAGGTGTGATTTTTGGCGTGCTGGGCCAAGCACAAGGAAGCCATCTGCAAAAAAACTGCAGAAAATGGTTGTTGTTTGATCCTTTGGTGTAATCTTTGTTTCTAGTCGAAGCTAGTTGCTGTTTGGAGCAGAAACGCTGAAATTGACTATTTTCTGCATGTACTCATACATGTACTCATGTACTCAGGCATGCAGTCTCACTCGTATTTTAGCTCTTTTTTCTGGAATGGATGCTGCTCTGCGCCCCTTGGTGAACATTTCCTGCGCTCGTGGAGCAGCTGAAAAGGACCACTGGTATGTCTGGTTCCTGGTTTGAAAGTGGAGAGTCGACTTTTGTGCCTTGAAAAAGGAGTAGAGAGCGATAAAGGTACGTCTGTGGCTTATTTTTGAGTGCTCCTCGTACATTTTTGATCGTGATAGAAATTCTCAGACCAAAGTCAGCGCGATGATGGCCGTACAGTTTTCTTGTGGATTTTTTAGTTGTTTCATCTCGTATCTATGTCAGTATCGTGATGGTGAAGTGGAGAGGGTGATTTTCTTCCTCTAGGCTTCGTTCGGCCGACTTTGCTTCGTCCTCGTTGAAAAGTGATCCTGAAAAAAAGGTCGATATCTCAAAATTATGTTGATTTTGAATGTACGTGATGACATGCGATTGCTGGCTATGACAGCTCAGCTGCCAACTACAACAAGAAAAAACTTCATCAACCTGACTGACTTGACTCTGCACGCGACGAAAAATTATTTTACTCGAAATGTCCAGAAATGTACAATGTCCAGAATTAGCAATTCACCTCGTACAAAAAGTAGCCTTGATTTGCATATGGTTCCATCAGATCTGTCACAGTGCGGTGAGCTAATCCCACATCTGCTTGGCCAGCTTCAGCACGCCCCAGTTTATATCTTGAAATTGCACAAGTACGAACTATCACTATCACATAATGCAAATACTTTCACTCCAAATTTCACTGGTTTATTTCTAATACACTGTTTGTAGCTAAAGCGGGCTTTCGTCTTGACCATTCGCTCGTCTATGGCGATATTCCGGCTCGGTTGGAACAGTTGACAGCTAGTAGTACATATGTGATCGCACAAATATCTAACTTTGTGCAATTTGTCACTACGGTCTTCTAAGGTGCGGTTACCACACGTAGAAATGACAGCAGAGCTTGAAACCTAGTCCTAGTTGAAATCATACCACGCGCCCAGGTTCCGTGCAAAGGCGGCGCTGTGCTCCAGTAATGCTGGATTCTAGGCAATCTAACAATGCCCATGTACAATTACAGCCCTATGAAGTTGAACATCTCATCTACATTTGTATTTTGCCAGTGCCCACCGTTGGTTGCATAGGATTGGCGAGAAGCAATGTGGCGGTCAGCATAACTATTTTGTGAAAAGAACAATTGCAGAAACTACAGCACTAGAAAAAAATAATTGGAAAAAATCTACCTCACGTGTCGGCATGAACTGGGGAGGGAAGTGGCATCCTGGCACACGAACCGGGGAGAATACGGGAAGAGCTGGGGCGCTGTCCTGATCATCCCAAGATCGAGTTGGCGTACCTCCGGCTCCTGCTGCCGCAGCGATAGGTATGGCTGTGCCACGACCTCGTGCGCGACCTCCGCCACGACCCGCGCGACTTCCGCCAACTCCACGGCGAGCACCAGGACGACTGCCACGACCAGTGCCACGAGAGTGTGTGGCGCGGCGAGATTCACGCCTGGCAGTTGCAGGCTCGTCACCACTTGAACTATCAGCTGATTGCTGATTGTCAGCATTGTCCTCTCCAGAACTGCTTGCATCTCCAAATATTTCTTCCGCCGTCTCCTCTACTACTATCGCTTCAGCCGTTTCAGTTTCGTCCTCGCTGAGTTAGTCGCCAAGCAAAGCGAGATCGATATCTTCCTCCTCATCAGATGAGAGAGGACAGTCGCTTGAATCAAGATTTGAGGCGTCTGAATCGCCTCCATGGAGCACAAAGGCGATCGCGTCTTCAAGCTGTACTGGTTGCGCGGCCATGGCGAACTGCAACTTCTTCTTCAAGTCCAGCGCTGTGTAGCGCAAAAAAATCCAATGCAAACCCCTATACTATCATACGCTATGATGTTCAGTGGGATCACAGCTTCCCGTTGCAACAAACCGAGTGAAAATCACGCGTAGGATCCCGGGTGACGGCGCAGCTAAGCGCGGCGCGCCCAACCATAACTGTGTTTACGGTTCGAGATGGGGCTGGTACATAAAGGGTTAAGGTGGTGATTTGTACATATGGACATGCTAATATGCACATTTCACGTGTCGTTATGGTCAATATCGTAATCCCCAATCCTGCCGAAACAGACAAATTTGTTTGTACTAAGTTGAAAGTGAAAGTCATTCACTTTGTCATCTGCAGCATAGAACGATATGAAGTGCCAGGGCAATTAGAATATTCTAGGAACGTCCTTTGAGTTCCTGTTGGTCTGGCGGAAGCCATGTTCAGTAGGCGCAGTGTCGCTGCCGATAAAGCATTTCATTTGATTTTGAAAATTATTGGGCAGGAGGTTGGGGATGAATGCGAGGAGAGCGCCTGGAGCATTGCGAGCAATTAGAAGTGACCGAACACAGAGACACAGTTATAATGCTCCAAATGAAGATGAGTGAATACTAATTGCTCCGGCTTCTCGATGAGTCTGATACGGGACCGGAGTCGAGGGAGGAAGCGGATAATGGTGGTGATAAAGCTATGGAGCCATACCCATAACAGAGCATCAATCTCCAAAACTCGGGCAGGATTTCCTTCATGAAGCTGGGTTCTCTGGCAAAGTTGGTAGATAGTGGAAAATGTGTTGCACCAAGCAAGCGCGAACGCGCGCAACCGGTTGTTGCTTCCGAAGTATGCGGGCTTTTCCGAGATATTCACAATTTTGAAGATGGGGCAGATGCATTATTTGCATTTATTGACCAGAATATGATCCATGTCATGATCAAGGGCACAAGGTAGAAGGGAAAACAAAAAAATTGGAGAGGACTCTACTTTGAGTGAAGGCAATATCATGAGATTGGTTTCGCATATTTATGCAAGAGGCGACCTCTGTACCCGCAATAGTCTGCCGACGGCCCTTCGGCTGAATAGGAAAGGACGCCATATAATCAAGTAAAATCCCTAAAAATAGTTTCCAGGAACTACTCTGCTACTTGAGGTTTGATCACGAAGATTGTCTCCGGACACGACGTCGAACGGAAATTATTCGTTTGCTATGAGTCGCGACACCATTTTCTCCTTTCGCTCGTAAATGTATTTATCACAGCAGTCAAAGAAGGACCAACCTGGCTGAGAAAAATCCAGCAAGTTGGCCCAGCAGCAGCCATTTCTGTGGTAATGGACTGAGATGTAGAGTTTGCAGGATGAGCATGGCAAGCAAATGCTCTTCTATTTTTCCGTAAACCGACGAGAGGTCGCCCTTTCGCTGCGCGCAATACCAGCTGCTGGTCTCCAAGATAGTTAACCTGTATTGGTTCTTCCTTTTAAAAGGTACTTTTTACCCCAAGGACTTCTGTTTATACACATATTGACGATAATATTTCCAAGCAAGTATGTTTAAGTCCAGTGCAGTCATATGATGCCTCCGGTACTTCTTGGGTAGTTGAAATTTTGGTAGTTCTAGGGTTAAATATTGGCCTCCCAGGGCTAAAACACATCTTTGACACATTAAAATGTCAGCCTATACTGTTGCTGCCTGTCTACACTGTCACACTGAACCTTGCAAAACTAAATTACGGCCGCAACAAATTTAACACCAAAAATTCCCAGGCCGAAAATAGGTGAGAATAAAAATGCGCCGAATATTTGTTGATTTACAGTATACTCACGTACTTCCTCCGTTAACAAAAACTTCGTGATGGATTTTGATGGATATGAAAACGCTTAGAACAGGTCAAGAACAGTTTGTATCGACTGCAAATCACTAGACGAAGGTGAATCGGCCTATGTACAGCGTCTTTTCAAGAGAAACTGTTGGAGGAAAGAGCAGAGAGTTCAGTTTGCGTCGCTTTCGCTCGACTCATTTTTGACCTGCGTCGCTGTCGTCATCTGCTGCCCCCGAGTCGTCATCTGCTGCACGCGAGTCGTCATCTCTCTCGAGTCGTTGTTCAGCTCGTTTCAGCCTTGCCTCGGCTTTTTTGATCACACTCTGCTGACCTTGATGTCGCCGTCGTTCAAGTAAGTTGGCTTTCAAGCTGCGTGATCCGCCGCGATGGCGATTACTCGTTTCCACAAGGGAGTCGTGAAAAATATTTTACGACTCCCTGGTTTCATCTTCGCTCTCCAGAACTCCGGGAAACGAGGAGTAAAGGCACAGCCAAACTGGTTCCATTTTCTCTAATGGATACCCCTGCAAGCACTGAACGGCAGCGGCTAGCAAGTCCAGTCGACTTTCTTTAGCCATGAGACTCGCATCGGACTGCAGACTTCTGAAAGAATGCATGGTGATCATCATTCGAATCTGGGCTTTGCGCAGTTTGAACAAGAACTTGAGTTCAGAATTAGTTTTCATTGAGCCGTGCGATCGGAGCAGCCCTTGTTCACTCGCTCATTATGTGGGCTCGCTGCTCCGTTTTATCGCTCTCTATCGCTCTCCAACTCACTTAGTGCCAAAGTGGTAGAGAGGCCAAGCAGCGCAATATCCCCTCGGAGAAGTGGTATTTCAGTTTCGCTCGCCATGACTGTCATCACCTACGTTTCCACAGCGCAACCATCGATTCCGCTCGACTTGTTGTGAAAGGTCGATTTCCTTGCATTGTACTTCTTTCATGGCATGCCAGGGAAGGCCAAGAAAGTGATTGCGACTCATTGCACGGCAGTTTGTGCCCAAATCAGCCCCTCAAAAATCCATCACGAAGTTTTTGTTAACGGAGGAAGTACACATTACCTCACGAAATCAGTGTTGTTCTTAGCTTACCTGTCGTCGAGGTGTCTTTACATCACAGCCAAATGGACAACAGGAGTATCCATACTGACATTCTTCCTCATGTTTCTGCAGTAAATCAATATCATGATTCACACACACTAGCTGAATTTATCCCTGTCCACAAAGTGATCAAATCCCGAAAGGGCTGGCATTCCTTACATGTAAGGTGGAACAAAATTGTATTGTAACTCCGAGTTTCACACTTGCACGATCATCAGGCAACAAACACCTATTATCTAACACGGAATGGGGTTTTGAATGAATGCCTGATGATCGCACAAAAAAGAAAGGAACTCGGAGTTTGAATAAAATGTTCTGCCACCATGTTTGTCATTCTCCACACATACATGTACATATACATATAGCTGTACACACATCTTTACTCAGATATTTACTCAATACATAACTAGCATAATCATCAGTCTAAAGCTATACACCAACAATCATCATCACTTGTCTTAGCAGGAACCGGAGGTTTTTCCTCTGGTGAGAAGGCAGAATTGCCTGTTCTCTAAACAAATTCAAATAAAAGAAAAAAAAAAAACTTGTACTTACTAACACTGAAAAGAAGCTTACCACATAATCTCTGAGGCAACCACTCCATTCACATAGCCCCGAATCACACTTGACCGTTTGCTTTTCCAGCTCATTTGCCAAGTCTTTCTCATCCACCAGCTGGAAAAGCAAAAACAGGGAATGAGTCATTAGGACAGCAAGTCATGTGATTGCTACCATGTAGACATCCAATCAAAGCGATGGAGAGTGAGAGTGCAGTATCTGTGGTTAGTTGAATCAGGTCCACTGCTCTAACCATGGCTATCTGTCTGAATACAGTATCTATGGTTAGTTGAATCAGGTCCACTGCTCTAACCATGGCTATCTGTCTGAATACAGTATCTGTGGTTAGTTGAATCAGGTCCACTGCTCTAACCATGGCTATCTGTCTGAATACAGTATCTATGGTTAGTTGAATCAGGTCCACTGCTCTAACCATGGCTATCTGTCTGAACACAGTATTATACCTGCCATGAGTGAGTTTGATATTCAAATTGTCAAATACTAGGACTTGACAATCATTGCCTCTACTTTCTCGCTACACATATTCTGGCACACACAGAGACATAGACAGCAATAGCGACACTACAGAAAGTGAAGGGTAGTTTGCTGCAGCCAGATGTGACTGATAAGGGTAGTTGGCCACAGCCGGATGTGAACCGGATAACGAGTGAGGTATGGAAGCAAGGACTGAGAACAGAGTGTCTCCCATAGAATAGGCGTGACAGTGGATAGCAGAAATCGGCCATGATGCAGAACCACTTGGGACCGTCAGATTAATTTTCTGTACCGAGCCAGCCAGGAAAAAACCCTCGCGCCGACTGACGCAGTTGTGAGGGAACAAATCGAGTGTATATCCCCATTGGTGATTAGGCATCATGTAGACATGGCAAGCACATCACGGCAAAATATGATAAAAAAAGCAATGATTATATGCACAGAAATGAAGGGTGGGAGGGCAGGGACACTCGTGAGACTCAAAACTGACTGAAGAAGTCAGAAAAAGAAGCGACAATGAAGAACACACCAGATGTAATATTTCCAACTGAAAATATTTCTCGAGAAATCATTTCTCGCCTATCTCGCTGCGCTCGGCCGTTGAGAAATACATCTATTCTGCTCACTATTCCACTTTCTATTCTACTCTCTATTCCACTCTCTATTCTACTTTCTATTCTACTCTCTATACCACTCTCTATTCTACTCCTCATCAGTTCCGTGCTGCAGCAGTCCCGTTTCTTCTATGAACTGAGAACATTGCAAAGCAATTGTATGTGTGGCTGTCAATGTACATGTGTGTGTGTGTGTGTGTTTGTGTGTGTGTGTTTGTGTGTGTGTGTATGTGGGTGTGTGCGCATGTACGTGTGTGTGTGGGGGGGGGGGATGTGTCCGGGTATGTGTGTATGTGTGTGTGTAGGTGTGGGTATGTACATGTATGTGTGTGTGTATATGTGTGTGGATGTGTGGGTGTGTGTGTGTGTGTGTGTGTACATGTATGTGTGTGTGTGTATGTGTGTGTGTGTGTGTGTGTGTGGATGTGTGTGGATGTGTGTATGTGTGTGGGTGTATGTGTGTGGATGTGTGGGTGTGTGGATGTAGATGTGAAATGCTTCGATTTCTCTCTCTTCTCTTCTCTTCTCTCTACCTGTCGGTGTCTCCCGCTTCTGGGCCGGCATGGCCCATACTTCATGCCTGCTTGTTCCTGTTGTTGTTATGTCTACTGTGTCTTGCCGCTACTCCGGCTTAGGCCGTGACCACGATGTGTCTCCCCCTTTTCTCCTTTATCCTTTCCTTTCTCTTTTTGCTGAAAGCTTTCTTCTCGCCGTGACCACGATTTTTCTTCTTTTTCTCCTTTATTCTTTTTCTTTCCTTCTTTTCTCTTCTTCCTTTGCTGAGAGCCTTCTGTTCCCATATTTTCTTTTCATCTGTGTCCCTATTTCTGGGTTACTTGGACTTCATTTGCTTCCTTGTCATTGGACATGTTCAGTCCGTTCGGTTTGCGAATTCAAACAAACACAACCAACAACCAACTCTCCATTGTACTCTCTATTCCACACTGTACTTCACTCTCTATTCCACTCTCCATTGTACTCTCTATTTCACTCTCTATTTCACTCTCTATTCCACTCTCTATTCTACTCTCTATTCTACGCTCTATTCTGCTCTCTATTCTACTCTCTATCCTACTCTCTATTCTACTCTCTATTTCACTCTCTAAACCACTCTCTATTCTACTCTCTATTCTACTCTCTATTTTACTCTCTATTCTAATCTTTATTCCACTCTCTATTCTACTCTCTATTCTACTCTCTATTCTAATCTCTATTCCACTCTCTATTCTACTCTCTATTCCACTCTCTATTCTACTCTCTATTCTACTCTCTATTCTGCTCTCTATTCTGCTCTCTATTCTACTGTCTATTCTGCTCTCTATTTTTTTTATTTATTACATTGCACATACCTACGGAAGAAGGGGGAGACAAAACGAAGACGAAACAAAAAAGACAACAATGGGTGTGTAGGCGCTACATGAGTTGCGCTGGTGAGATGCAGTGGACTCCCCCGACCAAGGGTCTCGGGATCGGCGTACACAGCAAGCACCATGGGAGAGAGGGGGGGGGGGGCGAGAGGAATGGCGGGGAGAGAGAGAGAGAGAGAGAGAGAGAGAGAGAGAGAGAGTGAGAGAGAGAGAGAGAGAGAGAGAGAGAGAGATAGAGAGAGAGTGAGTGAGAGAGAGAGAGAGAGAGAGAGAGAGAGAGAGAGAGAGAGAGAGAGAGAGAGAGAGAGAGAGAGAGAGAGAGAGAGAGAGACAGAGAGAGAGAGAGAGAGAGAGAGAGAGAGAGAGAGAGAGAGAGAGAGAGAGAGAGAGAGAGAGAGAGAGAGAGAGAGAGAGAGAGAGAGAGAGAGAGAGAGAGAGAGAGAGAGAGAGAGAGAGAGAGAGAGAGAGAGAGAGAGAAGAGAGAGAGAGAGAGAGAGAGAGAGAGAGAGAGAGAGAGAGAGAGAGAGAGGAGAGAGAGAGAGAGAGAGAGAGAGAGAGAGAGACAGAGAGAGAGAAGAGAGCGAGAGGGAAAGAGAGAGAGAAGAGGTGAGGGAAAGAGAGTGAAAGAGGTGGAGAGATATAATTATAGAAGAGAGAAAGAGTTTCAGCGGCATATCGTCGCTATGACTATAATGCTACTTTGAGAAGAGGGTCAACATAATGATTTGCGTCCACTGATGGCAGGCCAGTGTGATAGATGTGCATGGCTAGCACCAGTCATGAGCAGAGCGCCAGTCACTCTGTTGCAGGTGACGGTATGCAGCAATCTTGAATCTCTGCAGGTGTTTCCGGGCTGGCTGCTTGTCCAGAATTGCCTGTGGTAGTCTATTCCACACTGGCACGATGCAGTATGGGAAAGAGCGCAGAAGGTAATCAGGAGCTCGTGGGCGAGAGATTCAGCTCAAGTTGGTGGGGATGGTGCTGTGCTTGGGCTGCTCGTGTGCGGCGATGACGTGGCGGTATAGCCGGCGGGGGACACATGGCTGCAACTTGAGGCAGACCATGGCCACACATCAGTTTGTACAGTAGGCAGAGGGCAGAGACCTTTCGCCGAACAAGGAGGCTGGGAAGAATGGTACCAGGGCCAATGACATTAGGGTGCGGAGCTGGACAGCATCCAGCATGGCCAGGTGTGAGGGAGCTGATCCCATCCACGCAAGGGGGGGGCATATTCCAGCATTGGCCGGACGAATCCTTTGTAAACAGTCACCCTGCCCACGTGGCTGAGATGGGGTGCTGCCTTCCGCATGAGGCCCAGCCGCTGCTTAGCACGTGATGCCACTTGCCGAAGGTGGAGTCTGTAGCTCAGTTTATTATCAAACGTCACTCCGAGCACCTTCACAGATTCATCTGGTCGGAGAGGAGTTCCGCCAAATGACAGCTGGGGAGGCACTGTATCCTTCCGCTGGTGCGACAGAGTGATAGTTTGCGATTTTGATGGCTCAAACGCAATCTTCCATCTCTTGCCCCAGGCATGAAGCTCATCTAGGCTGCGTTGTAGTGAGGTATTCGAGGCTTGGTCAAGGAGGGAGTACAAAGTTGTATCATCAGCAAAAGTGTTTAGGTTTGTGCCATGCGACAAGCAGCTTGAAATGTCGTTTACGTACACGAGGAACAATGTAGGTCCAAGGATACTACCTTGTGGGACGCCAGACTGAACAGGGTGCACCGATGTGCTCTGGCCATGAACAACAGCTTTAATGGTGCGACATTGCAGGTAGTGGGTAAGCCATGCGAGCAGTGAACCCCCTATCCCCAGCTGGCGGGCCTTGTAAAGTACGCCAGCATGAGACACTTTGTCAAAAGCCCCGCTATGTCCACGGCAACTGCTTGCATAGCTCCACCTTCTGCCATGGCATTGGCCCATTCATACTGTAGGACAGTCAGGAGGTCTGCAGCTCCGGTGCCACGACGAAAACCGCTTTGACGAGTATTCAGCAGACGGTGGCGTTCCAAGAAGTTGACAAGCTGGGAGTTGGCTATACTCTCCATTACTTTCGACAGGATGCTGAGGAGAGACACAGGTCGATAATTCGAAACAATTGACTTGGAGGACTTCTTGTGTATGGGGGACACGTGGGCTAGTTTCCAGGAAGCTGGCTGGACCCCTGCTCTGAAGCAGCAAGAGAACAAGCGAGCAGCAGGCTCTGCCAGCTCCCTGTGGCATTCCTTGAGGACTCTAGCTGATATGCCATCGGGGCCAGTGGCCTTGTGCGGATTTAGCGCCGCTAGTTGACGACGGACATTGGCTAGACGAAAGTGGATGGCTGTGATCATAGGTGCCGCGGCATCAAGTTGCATAGCAGGGAGCTAATCAGAGGCAGAGAAATCGTTGGAGCCGAGGCTGCACTTCATGGCAAAGTATTGGGCAAAGAACTCGGCTTTTTCCCTAGCAGTGGTGTGCTCGTGTCCAGATCTGTCGACCAGGACAGGGATATCGCTTTGGCGGCTAACACCAGCAGCTCGCTTAATAGCTGTCCACCATTGCTTGTCTTGCAAGGAGCCAGATGACAGCTTTCTAGAAGCTCGCTCTTTGCATTGCTGTTGGGCATGTTGCAGAACATGCACACAATGTGTAACG